TATATATATATATATATATATATATATATATATATATATATATATATATATATATATATATATATATATAGAATATAAATAATTGTATGCATGTGAGTTGAAAGCACAGCTCTGTTGGTGGGTTGTGTGGTAAATTAACATTTCATGTTTGAATACTCAATTGGCTCATCTTCAATTCGATGTGTCGTTCAGGCGCGAGATTTCGAGCTTTAAGGTTGAATGGGATCAGACGTTTGATTTCAAATGTGGTATTCCGGCCGATGATGAGGAACGGCTGCTACCTTGCATATGCGGTATAAAAATTTACAAGGTAAATGATTCTCTGCTTTGGGTTGTCCATGATCAGCTGGACATTACCAATGCACATCTCCGCAAGGTTATAGTCGAGGCGGATGGCGTTTCCATAGACCATTCATAGCCCTTTCTTCGTGTGACCAAACTTGTTGGTAGTGCTGTTTGCTAATTTTTGCGTTCTAATTCCGCTGGTGTCGATTTTTGTATCAATGTCAAATAGTTTTAGATGCGTTCCCTCTTTAAGCAGTTTGAACGATAATAAAAATATTGATGTACATTCCATGCTCATATCTCAGGAGACACGATTCGGCAACGACAAACTTGGTGTCGTAAAAGTCGATCTCTCGGAGTTCGCTGGGCGTGACGGCATGGAGCGTCGGTATATCCTCAGCGGCGATGAATCACACAAACGGAGGAAAGATAATTCCATATTGCAAATAAAGGTAATCTGTTGTCTTGAGTAGATACTTAATGAGTGCAACCTGAGTGTCTCAAGGTTGAGTTCAGAGCAAATCGTGTTAAACGAGACGTAATATTTGACTGCGTTTGCGTTTGCCCCCTCCCAATACTTCCATCAGAACCGTACCTGATGCTAAGCAATTTATGCTACGAACCAAAGGTTATTGGTAAACATTTGTGAACCAAAATTCATATTGTCTGGGAGATTTGTGGATCATCCTGTGAATACCCGGCGCACTACAAATTGAATATGTCTGCGTCTGTCTGCAGGTATCGCTTACACTCGTATCCGGAGATCCAATTTTTAAAACGCCACAACTCGCAGACGAGACCACTGCCACCGGCCCGGCCCAGACTAAGAAAACCACATTAGAATACGCACTCGGCTTTGATCCAGATGCTCAATTATTGGGTCAGGTATGCCTTACATTTCTAGACTAAGGTACCGCGTAAAAATTCGTTTACAGCGCGATGTTGTGAAACTCATGAAACTGATTGCTCGATCAGGACAATATCAGTATGTTGTAGTTCAATCAGCTTATGTGAAACAATCCTATGAAATTGTCCGTGATCGTTTTATCTTCACCACACACTAGGAAATCGTCCCTCGGGCAGCTGTAACCAGACCGCATATATCAAGCACTCGTGTAAATCCAAAGGCAGTGGTGGAAGGTAATTGCATTGGAAGGTGGCTTCTTTTTATTAATGTCATTCTGTAGTCAGATTTTAAACTATTGTATAGGTTGCCAAAATACCGCAATAAAAGGTTCTGACATGTGCCGAATTCATATCCCTTCGATCACTCGCAACTTTGTGACTCAGATCTATTCAGCGAACAACTTCAGGCGAACAATCTGTCCGAGACGAAGCGAGCGATAACGCAGAGCCATAACATGCGCTTTAGTGAATTAAATATGAATTCGATATAACAACCCTGAAGTTGGTACAGTACTCCGGAGGCACTTGCAACTGCCACACATATCGTGCGTGCTATACTGGTCGTTAGCAAACCGCGAGTGTAAACCTCGTGGACACGGCCTATATCTGTTTGACGCACCCGCGGCGTGATTTAATTTTAATTTTAGCCTGTAGTTTGCCTGACTATGCAAGCAGAATAGTTCTGATTTTTTGCCATGAGTATGGCTCATGGTGTGCGTGTCTGTACGTTTTATGACTATCGAATTCTTCCTCAATATCGTGGATATTTCCTTGTTGATGGTTGTCTGTAGCTCGTGACAGCCGTCTGTAACCATCGTTTGTAGCGACGAGTATGTGTGATGAAAAGGATCTTTTTGTCCCACTTTGGTGGCTACAACGGTGTTCTATGAAGATTTCGTAAGCGACTGGTCTGGAGGCGTCCTCTCAGAGCACTTATAGTGATGGCCTGGTCGTGCACCTGACAACGAAGACAACGGACTGCCCACTGAAATGCAGCACGAACGATTCCATCCTTTGTGTGGAGTGCTACGAGCAGGGTACGTTTTTAGCAGTCTTTCTACTGGAGGTGTCAATATACAGATAACCTAATTTAGTTCTGCATGTGCACCACGATCAGTTATATTCAATCCACAGTCTTGCTTGAATAAAAATCGGGTAAAGTTAGAGCTTTTGTCAAACATCTAGACTAAACATGTCTTACTAACTGCGATACGTGTCTTGAATAGACCATGTCGCTGGCGGTGTGCTGTTGTGCTGCTACACTATGTTCGCTGCTGTCACTGCGATGACCTTTCGAGCATTTCTCGTGCACGTAGATTGCAGGCCCTTTTATCTGGCGGATGAAAAGGTCAAAGCACTAGAATCTGCGAGACTATCACGAGTCGTATAACGAATTTCAGGTAACTCACGCTCACCTAATAGCACGAGCTTATTGTTTATAGCGTATATGATTAGCAAAGTCAGCCTTTTTCTCGGAGATGACCACCTGCTATTAGATCCTCGAGAAATATTGGTTGCGTCTTCGACACTTATATCAGAAAAACGGAAGATCAACGAGTAGGAGCAATTTTCTTTAATTGAATTCCTCGAGCCTGATAGGCAAAGAGTTCACAAAACACTGTTGAACCTGGCCCTCACATCTCACATTTTTTCCCAAGGGGTTGATAACTTGTTCGGCGGAGGATGGTTTAGATGCAAAATATTTTTTTTGATCAAGACAAGTAATCGGAGCAAAGGCGATGGGAAAAGGATCCCGATTGGCTTCTTCATATTTTATCACAGCACTGCTTGGAAGGCCAACTGTTTGTTTAATATCCTCCTCACCTATAGTCCTATCTTGAACTGTCTACCTCCTATATGCATTCGCCTAACCAGCCCAGTTATCCCCCCCGCCCCTTCTCCTCCGCTTATCACGACTAGTGAAGTTTGACAGTTCCTTTTGGAAACGACTGAAATGAACATCTGTGTTAACAGCCATCGTGAGGCATCAAATACATCTCACTGAGGTATGCTATGCGGTCTGATCCCATCCCCCTTTTTCATACTGTACTAGCGCAACGTTCGACAGTCCGTAGACAACCTCAGTTAGATTTTGAATCAGCAGGCATGTAAAGACATCACACGCCCCTCAATAGGGTATGCATCGCGATCCGTCTGCTCTCAAACCGGGGTGTAAAAGAATCGCATCCAATCACAGGTCACGTGTTTGGATATACCACTGCTGATGAATGTGAGCAGCATACTTATACCTCAACCGAGAAACCGCGGACTACCACTCCAAGTGCAGGTATACTGCTCCTTTGTAATTGTCTAATAATATAAGCCCACGGGTTAGATGAACTTTCCAGCTGTATCCAGTGTACAACGGATGTACGAGCATCGCATGGACGATGCTATAATCGGGCAACAAGGTCCTTTGCACAAGCGTCCAATACGGCATCTAGTTTCTCACGTTCGTCTCTATTGAATCCTTGCAAGACATGGGCCGCTACGTCAGATTTATTGGACGGCTTGCCTATGCCGATACGGAGTCGGGGCATATCCTGTGATTGTATCAGTGTATGTGCTGTTAGTATCAAGATCTATTCCTGGGGGCGTTGCACAACAAACTGGGTATATAGGTCAACTGAGTATTCAATTAATCAGGGCTTGCTACCATTTTTAATACAAGGCGGATGCACATGTAGTCGGATTGCGCCATGCGACATGGGTATGAATATAGTGATTGTTCTTGAGCAGTAAACGCGTACGGACTCGCATGTGTTGGTTAACGGCAGAATGGGCTATGTCCTCCGTTACCAAAAGGTCAAGCACACGAATAACTTAATGTTGGTTTGTGGTGCAGATGTAATCCCAAGTGGTGTGACTTGAGTAGTGTTGCTGATACAATGGAAATGAATGTGACCATTGACAGGCAGTCCACACTGTAAGAACGATTTACATATTGTCTATAATGACAGATGTGGTCTATGGAGGCAATAAGAGCACCAGACACCTATCGTTCGAAATAAAATGGTATTCAACGTATGTGTGGAGTATACACAACTGAAGAAACAGCATAAAAGTTTTAAAACGTATAAACGCTTGCAAGCAGTTCAGCGCACACCCCATGTAAGCCTATAGCGTATGCATATGTGCATGTAGAAACCACGCTCAACCAAATAGCCATGCGTTTACGGGTAGGGCATGCACGCTTAATTAAGCCAGTACATTTGTATATTGGTACACATACTTCAGCATACATGCACATGCATATGTGCACACCTACTTCTTGACACATGGGTACGCACACGTACACGCAGTCGACTGACCTGTGAAGCAAGCACCTGATGAACGCTGCGTACGCCATTATGCCCAGAAGCACTGCCCTTCTCCTTAATTGTCCACTTGCCGAATGACTTCTCTAGTTCATCATGCACAAGGTATAACCTATTTGTGAAGGTGCGTGTATGTAAGTATTGCGGATTCAACAGCGAGCGGGTGGTCGAAGCTGTGAATGCGTTGCAAGATTGCCTTCAACCAATGTACCCCCACACAACGACTGAAGTGCATCATGCTCGAATGTTGTGATGCAAATAGTACACACCGTCCACCGCATGTGTAGCCAAACACTATAGGAAGGGTCTGCCAAACAGCTTTTTAAACTGACAACCAATAACAAGTTCGAATGGATCTCTACTCTACCTCACCTGTCTCTAAGTCTGCTATTCATTGTTGTCTCGCCCCTCATGAACTATCTTCAAGTCTATGGGCAAACAGTTTGTACCTTATTTAAACTTAGGCCTGCCCATCAGACATATAACTGGTTGACAATCAATGATATATTCGAAATACTACAAGTTGAGAAGCACATACCTGTTCTTCTCCCTCCAATTGTTGTTGAGGTACTGGGCACAGGTCTTCCCCACGCTTTTACCATTCACATTCATAAATAGTTTCGGTTTCAGAAGAATCAGATCGTGATCTATACCATTTGCCTTCTGTACTCGAAACTGTGAAGATAGAAGCATTCAAATGCGTTCAAAGGCGTTCAAAGGCGATCCCGATGTTGTTCGAAAAGGGTTTTTTTTTGTGCGAATACTATCCATCTCAAATAACTTAACAGCGATATAACAAACTTCACCGTTGCATATCAAAACGCTGGATATAAGCAACGTCTATGATCGTCACATATATGGGCAAGATTTGCAGCTGCAAACCCGCCTCTGAGAGCCCTGCAAACTCATGTATGCCTCACATCAGCCGATCCTTAAAAGTGCCATATGGTGTGCTTTATGGCAGCATATGCAAAGTAACTGTAAAACTCGATCCAATCAGATCTATCACTGATACTATCAGACTCACCTGCGCAACATTTCCATACACAGAGCGCACCGACTCCCATTTCGCGTCGTGTGTAGCGGCCAGTCGATCCACAAACAACATGCCGACGCTGTGTCTGGTATTGTGCATGGTGTAATTCCCTAACCCCACAATCTGTGGGAGTGTATGATAAACACAAAGAAGTAAGAGATTCAAAAGAGATTAGCTAGGACCAAGTAGTTGTGATTCCTGTTTATTGTAGGTATACGAAGAGACGGGGGAAGGGGACTTGTATGCACCTGAGTTTGAGATTGGGCTTTCAGTAACTATTGGTGCAGACGGCATCAACTATTTTCGAGCCGTAAGTAATTATGCAAAGACTCATGGGGTGAGCGTGTCGGAGGACGGGTAGATTGGTATAACTCGTGATCGCATACAAGCTCACAGGATGATTCTTTTCATATACGTACCATATTAAAGAGGAGTTCTGTAAAGAAGCGATGCATGCTATATGATCAACTTAGTTAGCTCTCTGTTCGAACGTGCATTGTAAAGAGATACGTTGATGATGCAATAACACACATTTTCAACCATATGGTCGTAAGTTCTAGGTATATCTATATGTACGTGTGCATAAACCACGTCTTATTTGACTACGCCAGATATTGCCCAAGGCTCATTCACGCGTGTGTGGGGCATTTAGATAAATATAGGAACGAGACCGTTGTTTAATATGCACATACGCAGAACTGTTAGAATATGCACTCAGCTGGAAAGACATTATGACTTAGCCCAAAAAAAATCTAAAGTGATGCTACTTTGGATAGAATTTAAGTGCAGGTATCTTGATTACATGCAGTTATTGGCAGAATAGTGAGTAAGTCTCAGACACGAATCAGGATATAGTACGAGAGGAGCATGCTTTTAGTATCACCATGGTATTCCAGAACCATACAGAGCCATTTTGTACATTTTAAGGGTTTATCTTAATAGCTTTCATAATCCAGACCTAATACCCTTTGCGGATCGATATACCACAGCGATAGGTACAACGGGTTTACCTATAAGCTCAAAACAGTCAAGGATGTACAACAAGGCCGATAGAACGACTTGTTATATCAATGATATGTGCAGATCCGGTGTATAGGCTCACAACAGACACATATGTATAACGAAACAAAATAGTATACGAGGGACTTGCTAAGCCATTGCGACAATTGTGACGACTCCGCCGATGTGCGGACTGCAGACAATTGGGCCAAATGCAAGGCCATGGCAGTGAACGTGAAGTTTCTGCCTATGCGCTTATAAAAAGCAAGTGTATACATCAAGGTACATCAATATACGGGGAATTTTGTATACCACTTCGGTTGGTGTAAGAATTTTTCTAATAGGCTGAAACAGGCAAGTATATGCAACTATGCAGTATATGGGCGAATTGCTAGGTAAATATGCCCACACGCATACATTAGGCATGTATGTACAGCAAGGTATAGTAGTATATGAGCGAGCTGAAAGTTGCGGTAGAATATGATAACGTACTAGGGTCTTTGGTACGTTCATGACGGCGGCATCACATGGAGTGCCGTTGTTTGCACACGCTGCAGGGAGCTTTCTATCAATCCATGTGAAGTAGTGATCAAAAATGTAATAAACAGCACAATACCACTGTGGCACATTTTATAAACCCGTCAGAATCTGAGAAAACCCCCTAAACCATGAAACCCTAAACCATGAAACCCTAAACCGTGAAACCCTAAACAGTGAAACCCTAAACTATGAAACCCTACACCAT